TCACACAAACCCATCATTCCATTTTATTCCAGAGATGAAATCAATTCTTCAGCTCACCCTGTCCCCATCTAGAGCACGGCCTGAGGGCACGGGTGGGGTCCCTCCCTGCCCAGCGTGGGGGCACCTGGAGCTGTGCTTCTCTCAAGGCCTCCCTGCCTGGTGAGGGGCTGTGCCCCTGGGTGTGTCTCCCGGCATTTTTCATATTCCATGGGATTCCATCATCCTGACTGTGAAGGGCACACGGACCCGGGTCCTGGCCCATTTGACCAGCTCAGCTCACGCCTGGGCTGTCTGTTCGCCCGTGTCTGTCCATCCGTCCGTCCATCTGTCCGTCTGCTGGCCACGACTCTTCCACCCTCGGGGACGTGTTTTTCCCCCTCTGCTGAGCCTGCATGAAGATGTGTGTGCTCCGCCGACGTCTGCAGTGTAGACACAGCTCCCTTGGGGTGTGTGCAGTGTGGACGCTCTTCTGTGCCTGGTGTTACGATGTGTCAGGTGTAGTGCAGTTCTCTGGCTTGTTTGTGGTGTGTGCAGTGTAGACGCTGCCCCAGTGGGGCTCGGAGGGAACTGCCTGGCATAGTGTGAGGGGCGAGGTGTGGTGAGGGCGGGGCCATTCCTGCAGAGTCAAGCAGAGATCGGCAGTGGGGGCTGCTTCGCGGAGGGAGTCGGGGCTGGGCCCGTCCTTCCGTGGCCGGCCTCCCGGGGCCACTTCCACGGGTTGTGATGATTGATTGTTCCAGCAGCGTCTCTACTGCCCTCCGCGCCAATCGCCTCTCCCTCCCCAGCGCCTCTCCCTCCCCAGCGCCTCTCCCTCCCCTCCCGCCACTTCCACCGGGTTGTGATGATTGATTGTTCCAGCAGCGTCTCTACTGCCCTCCGCGCCTAATCGCCTCCTCCCCAGCCCCTCTCCTCCCCAGCGCCTCTCTCTCCCTCCCCAGCGCCTCGCCTCTCCCTCCCCAGCGCCTCTCCCTCCCCAGCGCCTCTCCCTCCCCAGCGCCTCTCCTGGCTGCAGGCAGCGCTTGTCTGCACAGCACAGTGGAAGCCGGTGTACACCGGTAACCTGCCCGTGTGCACGTGTACCCTCGAACTTAAAGTATAACCAACAACAACGAAAAACAAAACACCTTTTACTTTGACGCACTGTTAGATTCCCAGGACGCTGCAAAGAAAATGCAGACAGAACCTGTGCCCTCTGCTCAGCTCACACCGTCCCAGGCAGCCTCGGCTCTGGCCCCGCTGGGCGTGGGTGACCGGCTGTGCGGGTTCCGAGGGCACCGTGTGCGCTTGCCCGGGCCGGCTCCCTGCGTCCTGGTCCCTCAGGCTCTCTCCTGCCTGCTGCTCCTCTCCGCCAAGTGCCGTTTCAGGCACAGGCCCCGCCGAGGCTGCCGCTCACTCGAGGGGCATCTGCGCTGCTGCAGCTCTGGACTATTGTGAATAACGCCGCTGTGAGTATTTTACTGTAAGTCTTTGGGGACGTGTCTTCATGGCCCTTGGGCGAATCCAGGTGTGGGACTGCCGGGCCGGGGAGCTGTGAGCTTTCTAGAGAGGTGGTGGCCCATGGTGGCTCCAAGTGCCTGTAGCCTCTCACGCTCCCGCCAGCGGTGGGTGAGGGGTGCCCGAGGCTCGCCCGTGTGCCAGTGGGTGCGTTAGCCAGTCCGGCCGCCATGGCTTTCCTCTGCAGCCCGCGGTGCCTGCTGATGTTGCGCCTTTTCTGTGTGCTTGTTGGCCACGCACATGTCGAGGGGCCGTTCTGACGATGGACTTTGGGGGGCACGACACGCGTGTCCAGTGTGGCAGGTCGGCCTTTCTCTTTTCCCCACAGACCTCAGTGCAGCTCTGCTCCTCAAAGGACCCGGGGAAGTTTCTGGGCCTATTTGGGCAATAGGAGAAGGTCATGGGCTGTCTCCAAAATTCGTGTCCACCCAGAACCCTCGAATGAGACCTATTTAAAGAGAAGGGCTTAGCCAGTGGAACATTAAGATGAGGGGCCCTGAATCCGAGGCTGGTGTCCCTGTTGGGTGACGTGAGGATGCGGCGTGGAAGAGACACATGGGGGTGGGGCGGGGAACAGGCCACCGGCAGCAGAGAGGGGTCAGGCCCAGCGAGCGAGGAGGCGGGAGGAGCCCTGGAGCCCTCAGAGGGAGCTGGGCCAGTACCTGGGCTTTGGACTCTGTTCCTGGGACTGTGAGGGAATCAGTTCTGCTGTCTGAAGCGGCCTGCTCTGGTCCTGTGTTACGGCAGCACTGGGCACAAAGATGGGAGGACCTTGTGACTGGAACTGGGGCAGTCACAGGCCCAGCAGGCTGGTGAGCCAGTGCCCGGCAGGTGGGGGAGGACGTGGCGTGAGATGCGGCCTGCGGCCAGCCAGTGAGCTCCAGCACGGGGCCTGGTTGCCGGACAGCAGTGAACGGTGAACGGTGATTCCTCTAGAAGCCCTCCTTGTGTCTCGGGGCGGGAAGCCGGGCACCGCTCGGGAACGGGCCGCTGCTGTGAGGGAGAGCGCCGTGAATGTTAATAAACAAAAGAGCCAATTATCCTTCACTGCAGACACGTTTCTTTGCAGAAAATTTAGGAAATACCAGAAGCAAATAAAAATCAAAACCACCCAAGAACGTAACGGCTATGATGTGCTTTCTTCCTAATCCTGAAAGCAAAGCTTTGGAGCCCGTATTATTTCTTCCTTGTTTGAATTAAACACAGTTCAGAAGGAGAAAGTAATTTCCCCAAAGCTGCCCAGCGAGGAGAGGGTGCCCAGGTGTGTCTGCTGCTGCCCCTCTCTGCAGACCCCAGAGCTGTCCCTGCAGCCCCCTCAGAGGGGCCCCCACCCTGGAGTCTGCCTTTCACCTTCCCCTTGCTTCGACCAGAGCTAAACTTGCCTGTGATGAAGATGGGGTGCTTGGGAGACCCCCACGTTCTGTGTGGTTGGGCCCCTGGTCAACACCAGCCTGGCCTGCACCCCTGCTGGGGCCCTTCAAGGCTGCCCCGCCCTGGGGACAGACCCCCCTGCACGCTGCTTCCTGTGGGACCTACTCTTGAAGTCGGTCTGAGCCATAAATGAGACTCATCAGGTGATGGTCATTTTTATTAGAGGCAAAATTAAATTCGGGCGCCCATGATCTCTATCAAGAGCAAAGAAAGGAGAAGAGTGACGTGTGTGTTCACTGCTTCCACCAGGAGTGCCTGCTCCCATAATGGCCGCTCCAAGCCCCGGTCATCGGGCTGGGGGAGTGCCTGCTCCCGTAACGGCCGCGCTCGAGCCCGGTCATCAGGCTGAGAGTGCCTGCTCCGTAACGGCCGCTCGAGCCCGGTCATCGGGCTGGGGAGTGCCTGCTCCGCTGCTTGGCCGCTCCGAGCCCCGGTCATCGGGCTGGGGAGTGCCTGCTCCATGCTTGGCAGCTCGAGCCCTGCTTGTCAGGTGCCAATGAACCGTGTCAAACAGGCGACATGGATTTTCTGAATCTGCTCATCGGGCTGGGGGAGTGCCTGCTCCCGTAACGGCCGCTCCGAGCCCTGCTTGTCAGGTGCCAATGAACCGTGTCAAACAGACGACGTGGATTTTTCTGAATCTGCTGCAGAGCCAGATTTTAATTGAATCCATGTGAGAAGCAGGCCTGCTATTAAGTTTTATTAAATTCTATTTGCTCGTATCCTTGCCATTTAAAACATGACTGTTTAAAAAGAAAACAAATACTGGGCAGCCAGGCAGGGTGGAAGGTCACAGGTTTGGGGTCACATGGATCTGGGTGGGACCCCCGGGTTTGCCTGTGTGACGGTGTGTCTTGTGCAGAGTCGTTTTATTCCTCCGAGCCTCTGTTTCTCCTTAATGGGCACAGGAGTGCTCAGTACTACCTAAGGTATTTGAAGAATTAAATGGGATTAAAATTTCACCCTTATTTAAACATCTTCCTCCCTCCCTCGTCCTCCTCCGTCCTTCCTCATCCCTCCTCCTCCTCCTCTTAGGAGAAGAGAATGGTTGCCGCAGTTTTTCTGAAGATCTGGGACAAGGAGCTGGCATTTCTGTAGACCTTGCTCTGAAAGGGTTCTCTTGTGCGTCCTCTCGGTCGCATCCATCGGACTGGGGAGATGCCCTGCGTCTCGGTCGCGTCCGTCGGACTGGGGAGGTGCCCTGCGTCTCGGTCGCGTCCGTTGGACTGGGGAGATGCTGTACATCTGGGGGTCTTGGGAGAGTGAGTTGGGGGTGTGCTGGCCAGTGTCTGACACCAACTCTCGGAAGTGCAGCCGTGGCGTGTCGTGTCGCCAGCTGTGGTGTCTGTCTGTCCACCACAGACCGTTTCAGGTGACCAGCCCGCTATCTCTGAGCTTGGAGTTGCCTGCTGCAGGCCCCCCGCTGACCGCCAGAGCCCCAGCTCCCAGGCCCTCCAGCCCGTGGGTGTGGGTAGGGGTTTCGGCAGTTGTGAGCCTGGGCCGACTCATCGTCCCCTGGTCAAAGCCTCGGTTCTTCCCTCACTTGGGCAATCGGTCCTCCATATTAAATCCCCTTTGTTTGACTGGTTGGATCCCACCTGATACAATTGGGGTGACCCCAACCAAGGACCCATGGTTACGAAACAGGACAGAGAAGTCCATGAGGAGGAGTGATTGTGCCTTACAGGAAGGGACGTGTCCACACGTGTCAAAGGGTTTCGGGGATCACAGTGGCTTTGGCACAGCCCATGGATGGCACAGCCCATGGACGGCACAGCCCACGGACGGCACTGACGTTTTCCTGAGCCCAGGGACTGTGCCGGGGTCAGGGCAAGTGCGTGTCTCCGTCCGTTTGGCATTTTGCTATGTATATAAAGGAACATCTGAGATGGGGTAATTCATGAAGAAAAGGGGTGTAATTGGCCCACAGGCCTGCAGGAAGCCTGGCACTAGCATCTGCTTCTGGGAAGGCCTCAGGGAGCTTCTACTCGGAGCAGAGGGGACGTGGTGAGGGAGGGAGCAGGGAGGGTAGTGCCAGGACCCTTCTAACAACCAGCACCCTCGGGAATTACTAGAGTGGACGTCAGTTACCATGAGGATGCGCCGGACTGTTCATGAGGGATCCACCCAGACACCTCCCAGCAGGCACCACCTCCATGTTGGTCAAATTTCAACCTGAAATTTGGAGGGGACAAGCATCCGATCTACATCAGCATGTCACTGTGACTTAAACAGGTATGGCTGGTCCCCATGTGGGGCACCCTGTGAGGCAGGCGTGAGTCTAGGCCAGCAAGGATGTCCTGGTGGCCACGGCCGAGTGTTGGCCACACAGCTGCGCAGGGACCGTCTTCAACAGTGACACCATGTGGCAGCAGGTGCAGCGGCAGCAGCAGACGTTGGGGCGTCTCCAGCTCTGGCCCACCCGTGGGAGGGTGGGGAGCTCTTTGGATTAAATGATCTTTCGGATCCATGGGCACTTTCTCCGGAACAGGGGCAGGTCTTGAGAGGCGTGTGACCACTTAAGCAGGTAAGAACAGAGGGGAATAGTCAGGGAAATAAGGACGCTTGGGGGTGTCTTTGGTGAAGCAGTGTTCACCACATCGAGGTCGCGCCTATGAAGAGTCTCCTGTCCGGACAGCGTAGACAGTGCCTCACCTCTGCTGCCCTGCAGGGACCGGCCTTCCCAGGTGCTCCCCTCAGGACTCCTCCTGGTGCCAGGGAAGAGGGGCTGGGCCAGGTGAGGTGGGGCCGCCTTAGGCTTCCCCCAGCAGGAGGGATGAACGCTTACTTCCCTGGAGGGCGGGAGCTCTACTGAGGATTCGAGAGTAATTTTCCAGGCGTCAGGTTTTACGTGGGATCCTGTGTGGGCTACGAACAAGCCAGTTTTGACTTGCCTGTCAATTTGCCTAATGAATTGGAGTGTGAGCGAGCCAAGTTTGCACCTGCCATCCTCTTGGTCTAAACTACAGGCACTGCACGTTGCAAGCTAAGGGACTCTGCACATCCTGACTTCGCCTGGGAAGCTTCTGGAGTCCCGTGAGTCTGGCTGGGGGTGGTGGGGGGGGAGGTCCCTGGCAAGCCACTGACTTTTTTGACAAGGTCTGGACTAGCAGAGGGCTGAGGCTTGGGCTGGGGCTGGGAGAATTCTCTGCTGAGAACAGAAGAACTGGGACCCCTCAGGGCTTCTTACAGGAACAGGAAGCAGCAACCAGGGAGTCCCAGAGGAAGGGGTTGAGCAGAGGGGCCATGTGGTGGGTGGGCACCCCAGTGGCAGGGTGCAGGGGGAGGAACATGCCACCCCGGGCTTTGGAAAGAGCAGTGAAGCACAGCCCCACCGCCTCCCCCAGGGCTAGTGGACAGTGAAGTGTCCCTGCAGGCTGAACTCCGACTGGTGACAACAGGTCAGCGTCCTCACTCCCTGGAGACTCGGAGCCTGGACTTGCCAAATTTGGTACCTGCCCATCGTTTTATTTATCTGAGATGGAGTCTCTCTCTGTGGCCCAGGCTGGAGTGCTGTGGGGTGATTTTGGCTCACTGCAACCTCCACCTCCCGGGTTCAAGCTATTCTCCCGCCTCAGCCTCCAGAGTATCTGGCATTACAGGTGCCTCCACCATGCCTGGCTAATTTTTGTATTTTTAGTAGAGATGGGATTTCACCATGTTAGCCGGGATGGTCTCGAATTCCTGACCTCAGTTGATCCACCCGCCTCAGCCTCCCAAAGTGCTGGGATTATAGGCATGAGCCACTGTGCCGGGCCTGTTTTTTTTTAATTTTAGATTCACGGATACATGTGTGGGTTTGTTATGTGGGTATATAGCGTGATGCTGAGGTTTTGGCTTCTAACGATCCCTTCACCCAGGGAGCGGACGCGGCTCTCGACAGGTGGTTTTCCAGCCCTTGTCCTCGTCCTTCTCCCACCTGCCCCTCTGGAGTCCTGGGGTTTTCCAGCCCTTGTCCTCGTCCTCCTTACACCCGCCCCTCTGGAGTCCCTGGCGTCTGCTGTTCCCTCTCTGTGTCGTGTGCACACAGCGTTCAGCTCCCATGAATAAGAACACGTGGTTTTGGTTTTCTGTTCGGGTGAGTTCTCAGGCTGACGGCTCCAGCTGCCATGTGCGGCTGCCGGGGACATGCTCTCCTCCATTTTTCTGGCTGTGTCGAGTTCATGGTCTGTCTGCACACGTGAGGCCACCTGCTGGGCCACATCCCAGCACGGGCGTCAGCCAGATTCCACGTCTGCGGCTTTGTGAGCTACACGGCCATGGCTCAACTCTGCGCTGAGAGCCCCACAGCGGTGGCCACAGACAATAGTAAGCAAATGGGCATGGCTGGGCGCCAATAAAACTGTATTTATTAAAACAGGCAAGGGGCTGGGCTGTGGCAGGGCCCAGGCCCCACCCCCCAGTTCAGCTCCAAGGAAGACACACACAGTGCTGCTGCCTAATCCTCTTTATTTGGTCACTGCTGAAGCAGTCACACCAGCCTCCTAGACACAGCCGCAGGTTTGTCGCCATCCATGTCCCCCAGCACCCCTCTTACCAGACCATGAGGAGCTGCGTTGTGACGTAGGTCTCGGTTGGAGGGCTGAGCGGTTGCAAGGGCTGGGGGAGGCTGCTTGGAGCATGGGAGGCCACGGGTGGAGGACGCCGGGGCGCCGCCCGGCGCGTGGTCTGGGGCTTGGCCACCCTGTGGGGCGTAGGGGGCTGTGGTACATGCAGAGGCGGCGGCTGTCCCAGCAGCCTGGCCAGGAGATTCCGTGGAGAAGGCACGTGTTTGAATTGGCGTCACTGTCCCCAGACGCCCTCCCTTGGGTAGAGCCGCCTGTCCTAGGAGGAGCTGTACTCCAGGTGCAGTGGCTGACACCCCGGCCCCTTGGCCTCTGCTCTCCTGGCCGCACACAGAGCCCTGCCCTGCTGTGTCTGCTGGGTATACCCCGGCCACTCAGCCACACTGGCTTGGCCCAACGCCTTCCCGAGGTCCGTGGGGGTCCAGGCAGAGGCGGGGTCAGTGCCGTGCGTGTTTGATCCAGTTTCTGATCATCCACTTCTGCCCCGAGCACCTCTGCACCACCAGCCGGAGCCCGAAGTTGGCATCTTTGGACATCTCCACCTCCAGGCAGCGGCCCGTGGCCCGGCTCACAATGGGGCCGCTCTGTGGGGACAGTCACACCAAGTCAGCCGGGGTGCAGGCGTCCTCGTCCCCCACCCCCACCCCAGGGAGGCTGCTTCGTGCTGTCAGCCCTCGTGCTCATTCTTGGGGCAGCTCGAATGGAAACCCAGCATCACAGCAGCACCCGGGGGCCGGGAAGGGGCTGACGTCAGTGGAGCTTTGAGGATCTCCCATGGTTCCTGCAGAGCAGCCCAGGTTGGAATCACACCTCATCCCCTCCCTAAATCCTGCCTCCACCCTGGGCACCTGAGGCTGGAAGAGGCAGACGCAGGGCTATGATCAGACTGTCCAGCCCGGCCCCTCTGGCTGTGTGACCCTGGCCAGTCACCTGCCCTCTCTGCGAGCATCGGGGCCCTCGAGGGAGCGGCTGATCCAAGGCCCTGTCCCCTGACCACCCACTGCGGCACTCCAGCTCCCACCCAGTGGGCTGGCTCTACTGGCAGAGGTGCCCAGGGGTCCCAGCGGCCCTGTCCCAACCCCACGGCCCCCCTTCCCCAATGGCTGACCTGGGTGAAGTCCCACAGCCGCTGTGTGGGCCTCGCCACATCCTCACACTTCCTCAGGGTGGGCGTGCGGCCCCTGCCGTCATCCACCAGACACTTGGAGTCGGGCAAGAAGGCTGTGGAGCCCAGAGGCCCCAGCTGCAGCAGGCCGTCCGCGCTGTACCGCACCAGCTGGGGACAGGACCACCGGGGCTGTGTGTGAGCAGCGTCCAGGCCCGGGGGTGCCATGGCCCATGCTCCAGCCCAGGCTCTCCCTGGTAAGCACAGAAAGGCTGTGCGAGCTGCCGCGAGCTGCAAACGGGGCCCTGAGTGGCTGCCTTGGAGCCTCCCACCCTGGGAACACTGTTGTGGGTGGCAGAGGCCTGCCGGGCAGGGTCCACGTGGGAATGTGGGCTGGACGGCGCCCAGAAGGTCCGCAGGGCCAGGCTCCCGACAGACGTCATGAACGGGGCTCAGACTCAGAGCATGGCCCCACTCATTTCGGGGAGGACAGGAGTCGGGTTTACTTTGGGTGACATGCAGAGCTCACTGAAAAGCGCCGTGTATGAGCGGAACACGCATTCCCGTGGGGCTACAAATGCCCAGCTCTTTATGGAGGTTGTGGTCAGAATGGCTCGGACCTTCACTATGGCCAGTCCCTGACCACCGATTCCACGGGGCTGGGCCTGCACTGCAGGTGAGTCCCGCCCAGGTGGGGATGGTTTCGCCACACTGCCCAGGCTGGTCTCAATTCCTGGGCTTACGTGATTAAGCAGACTCTGGCTTGGCCGCCCATCATGCTGGGATGACAGGTGTGAGCCGCTGCGCCCGGCCCAGGCTGTTTTCAATGCACCACATTCTGCTGCCTTCCAGGTGGGGCAGGCTGGGAGGCCTCTTCTAGAGGGGCCCTCAGGCTGCTCCAAGCCCTGGGCTGCAGCCCTGGTGGCATCAGAACACCCCAGCAGGCTGGCCCCGTGCCTCTGCCCCAGGGTGCGGGGTCCGGGTGGCCTGGGGTGCTCCCCTTGGGAGCTCCATGGGTGGCTGCTGCTACTCCTACCTGGGAGGACATCCCGTGGCAGGGGTAGAGGATCGCCCGGTCGCCGTCCTCCGCTCCCTGGTCCAGGCAGTAGCCGCTGGCTTTGCTATTTCTCACCTGCAACCAGAAGCCCCCGAGAAAGTCCAGGGTCACCTGAGGGTGGAGCCCCACAGAGCTTCACGCAGCCAGCACCTAAGGAGGTGCTCCCGGGAGGAGGAGGGGGGGCTTGTGGAGGGCTCTGGCTGGGTGGGCTGCCTGGGAAGGGACTTGCTGGACCTCCCGGGAACGGGTGGCCGACCGAGTTTATCACTGATGGAGACATGGACGTATCTGCCATGCACAGATGGAGACGTGGCCATCAGTCTATAGGGGAGGCTTGAGGACGGCGGTGTCAGCCTTTCTCAGCAGCAGGGATGGAGGCCCTAAGCCGGGGGTGGCTTCCCTGCCTTGCCGCCTGCTCCCTGCACCCTTGCAGCTCCCACTGAGTGGGCAGAGACCGCTCGCCGGCCCTGGAGTCTGGGCTGGCCTTGGCTTGGATCCTTGGGAGACCTTCCAGCTTCCACTCCGTCTGGGAAGGAATCCTGACACCACTCTGAGAACAAGCCTGGGCCAGCCTGCTGGGGCGTGAGTTGTCATCGGGCAGCCAACCTCCAGCCACCAGAACGGGCCCATCCGAGATCAGCACAGCCTGGCCCGGCCAGCAGCACTGCCCAGGTGGCCCTGGCTTGTGAGCGAGGGTAGACGCTTATTGCTTTTCTCCACTGCGTTTCCAGGCTGCTGGGTTTGCAGCGGCAGCTAACCCCTCCATCATGGCCACCGCAAGAGGTCACACAGGTTTGAACTGGGACCGCTGAGAAAGTCCAACAGTTTGGATGTTGACTACAAATTAGAAAACGCCCAGCTGCTCTGGGTGGGCGGTGCCTGAGCTTGGCTGATGGAGGACGGAGCGGGCAGAGCAGAAGCACAGGGAGGCTGGGGGACAGGGCGGCACACCGATGCACTCTCAGCGCTGCCTGGGACACCTCTGTGCCCAAGGGACTGGAGTCAGCGCAGGGTGGACCAGGAGCTGAGGGAGGGGAGGCTCAGTGAGGACCATCCACCCCAGGGACCCTTCTCCTTGCCCCATCCAAATGCCAGCTCAGGGCTGGGACACTCGAGTCTCATGGTGGGAGGCACCCTGTCCCCTGCACAGACTGGGGAGAGGGCAGAAGAGCAGCACCTTCTTGCTGGCTTTACAGAGCGCAGTGCAGGTGGGGGCCGGCGGAGACGGGGTCTGGTGTAGCTGATGTGCCTGTATGAGTGTGGGCGTGCATATCACCCATCGTGTGCGTCTGTGTGGGCACCGCATGCATGCGTGGTGGGGTATGAACACGGCTCTGCATGCACGCGTGGTGGGGTATGAACACGGCTCTGCATATGCGGATGCAGATGTGTACACACGCACATTATTGCACCTTGATAAGTGCTTGTATATCTGTGCACACACAGGCCCCTTTGGGGTTCATGCACTTAGTGAAACATACATTTGTGTATGAAGAGCTCTGTGTCTACGAGCAAAACTGTGCAGATGTACACTCATGTCCACGTGCACTTGTACATATGTTTGCATGGATTTGCGAACATGCCTGTGAATGTGTCCCTGTGCATACGTCTAGGTGAGTGCATGCATGCCTGTGTGCACATACATGTGAGTGCATAGGTACGTCTGAATCAGGCATGTGAACACGTGTATGCATGGATGTGACTACACGTCTGCCTCTAGGCAGGTCCCTGTGAAGGAATGGGTGTGTATGGACATGCGTGTCTGCAGGTGCATGTGTTCATGTGACCCTGCACCTTGTGTGTGCATGTGGATGTGCCTGCC